GAACTCGCATTCGAAGGAGCAAGAAATGAAGATTATTCTTTCGACATTCAATCCTTCAACCCCAGAAGCAAGGTGAAGCTGAAATTGAAGATCATGTGACGGATTGCATTGAAGCCTTCTCAATCAGTCTGCTTGTGACATCCCCAAATTTATGGCCTAAAAAGACCGATTTGTTTATGCTTTGTTTTAAAATCAGAGTTATCTTTTAAAGAAAACAGTTGCAGAATTTTTCCCAAAAACAAAATATGATAACCATTTATCAAAATATTTCTCAAAAAGAATGTATTTTTTTATTAAATAATAAAACCTCGGGATGTCATGTTCCGATACAGATCAAAAGCATAGACAATATAAAATAGATCTTACAACAGTCGTTTATAACCACTGATTTATAATCCAAAATCTCTCGTCAAGTCCACCAAATTATACTCTTGTGCCATACCTGTAATGTAAAGAAAACTGAGTGGGTCAGGCTTGGGACTCTGGTGAGCATATAGGGTTTTCAACCCACAATAATATATTTATTATATTCAATCATCAAACAATCAACCCAATTACCCATCCCCATTATCTTCTTTATTTCTTAAGGTTTTACCCTAAGAATCTATTATACTTTCTTCATTCATTCCTAAGGATTTACCTAAGGAACTGACACAAAGTCCATTTGCTACCACAGTTTATACAACAGGCACTACGTTGCATAGTCACAAGGGTTTATACAATTGGCACTACGTCTGATAGTCACCAAGGTTTACACAATAGGCACTACGTCTCATAGTCACCTGGGTTTACACAAAAGGCACGAAGTCACATCGTCACCAAGGTTTATCAAATAGGCACGAGGTCACATCGTCACCAAGGCTTACTCAATAGGAACGAAGTCGCATCGTCACCAACTATTCCATCTACCCATGTTCTACCCAACATTTTGTAGATATAAATACAAACTCAATTTAAATCATTTAACACACGTATAAAAACATCAATTCCAAGTCCATCTCAAATAGACAATTAATATATAACACATAGCACGTATTTCATAGCTAATACCTTATATTTATGTGTTAGAAGAAAGTAACTATGCACTCACGCATATAAACAACAATATATATATATATATATATATATATACATAACACGTATTTTGTAAAATACTACATATCTATGTGTAAGATATAAGTGACTATACACTCACGCATATAAACAACAATATATATATACACACACACACACACACACACACACACATAACACGTATTTTCTAAAATACTTCATATCTATGTGTAAGATGAAAGTGACTATACACTCACTTGATCAGAAGATGATCGGACAACACTACAACTTGTAGAAGTAGTATTCTTGGGTAGATCTGGAAGATCTTCACAAAAACCGGGCTCCTCGCAGGCAGGGCTTCGGCTTGGGAATCTCACTTCTCAGGATCTTCAGGACTTTGGAACTTGCTTCGGGGCTCGGGAATGATACTGGGGCTTCGGGATATAAGTGGCACGCAAATCGAGTCAAAAACTAGAGAGAAATGAAGAAAAATGGAAAAAGAATCGCCTGATCCTGGTTTTTATTTATAGGCTGTTGGATCTGGGATTACGCTGGGCGTAATTTTGGAGTACGCTGGGTGTAATCAGTATGTTGGGCGTACTCTTCGGATAAGCTTTGGTATGTGTGCCATGATCTTCAAAAATTCATAACTTTCGCATACAAACTCCATTTTTGACGTTCTTTATATCCACGCGTAGGTGAGATTATGCTCTACAACTTTCATTTAGACTCCGTCAGCAAATTTTACATTTATTTTTATTATATTATTTTTTTAGTAGGCCGGGATAGGAAAACTTCGTTATAAAATCATAACTTCTTCATCTGACGTCCGTTTTTGTCTGTATTTTTACCGTTGCACTACTAATGATGAGATCTTCAATTCTTGTTTAGATTGTTTCGGCTAAATACTGGTCGATCTCAAATCGAGTATCAAAGCTGCATACCGCTAAGTCGAAACTTAGAAAAATCATAACTTCCTCATACGAAGTCAGATTTGGACGTTTCTTTTTATGCACGCTCATGGTTTAAAGAACTCTACAACTTTCTTTTAGATCACTAAGGCTAAATATCGCTCTAACGTAAAATCACTTTTTACGTCATTCAACGTCGTGCCGGTTCTGTCACCAAACTTCGACATGTCATAACTTCTTCGTTATAAGTCAGATGTCGGCGTTCTTTATATGTACGGAATCCTTGTAACATATACTATAACTTAGTTAAGATTATTTATTCTAAATAATATTTTGTCAAAAAGTCATTTTCGACCCCTATTATCTCTAAATTGACTAGCCCGAATCTACGGGCGTTACACTGCCGCTATCTTAAACCTGCTAAAGTGATCCAGAAGATTTGTTCTCTCTGAAGATTCTCAAGCTGAAAGCGCTATTTTTCAAGAATCGGTACATCAAGCATCCTCACCCAATGTGCGTTCAACGTCAAATTCTGAAGAAAAGTTCAAGGGCTCAAGATGAAGTCATTCATGGAAGATTCATATGTTCATCCTAATGCTGTGAAGAAAAGTCAGCTACTTTTTACGGGGAGCGTGTTGGTTCATTTAGAAAAAAAGAAAGTTATAAACAAAGGGGGAGATTGCTGGGTCAAAAATAAGGTTTATACTTTACTTTTCTAGGAAAATTGTATTTTTGTGTCTTGGACTGTAAACAACTTGGTGTTTACAGCCGTATACGTGTTTACGGCTGTGTTTACGGCCGTAAACCCATTTACAGCCCATGTTCACCGGCCCATGTTCCCCTTGTATGTATATATATATATATATATATATATATATATATATATATATATATATATATATATATATATATATATATATATATATATATATATATATAGGTGTTAGGGGTGAGGATTAGAGATTGATGAACGTGTGAGACATAAACTAGAGAGAATAAGAGAGCATTTTGTGTGTGTGAATCTATTGTAAGAAACTTAATTCTAATCATATCATTCAAGATTCCTCATCTTCTTCTTCTTCTTATCTTCTATTTGATCTGACATCACCATCAAACGGATCTGATTGATACACAGACATTTTGGGGTCTTACAAAAATTTCAAAAGTTCTAAGTATTTCAATGTTCAACTAATTTATAAAAAAAATAAAAATAAATAAATTTTAAAGTTTTTGTCCAAAATTTTCAAAATTTATATGTTTTCAAATATACAAATACTTAAATTTACTTCTTTTCTTAAGATATATTAAAATTTGAATAACTTTTCTTATTAATTTGATGATAAATTGTTGTGCTTGGTAAACTTATTATTAAACTTTTATGCTTATTTATTTATATTCTTACGATTAATGTTGGATTTATAAATATTTGAACAATTTTATTAATAATTAATCGTCTTTGATATATATATATATATATATATATATATATATATATATATATATATATATATATATATATATATAGAGAGAGAGAGAGAGAGAGAGGTAAACTTATTATTAAACTTTTATGTTTATTTATTTATATTCTTACGATTAATGTTGGATTTATAAATATTTGAACAATTTTCTTAATAATTAATCGTCTTCGATATATATATATATATATATATATATATATATATATATATATATATATATATATATATATATTATATATATATATATCCCCTATCGTAACAAATAAGTAGAATTCTGCCACGTGTCAATCTCCAAGACCCCCAATATCGAATTTTCCCACTCATTTTATTCATCTTTATTTACGTAAATGTCATTCACTCCAAATGAAAGCAAATAGATGCAATAAATCTGGAAAAATCCGGATACACCTGCATTTAAAATATGCAACCAACAAATTTAAATGAATAAAGGCTGTTGAAAGAATTTCAAAAAATATGTTATTCAAATTTCATATTCGAAATTCCCGATTTAATTTGGAAGTTTGTTAATTTTGATTGCAATTTAAATAATTTGCAGTAATTAAATCCCAAAAAATCTGCAGTAATTTATCAAATACCGAAATATATACAATACAATCCAATATAATTATACCATCTATACGGTTCTTTTGTGTGACCGTTGTGCTCCATAGCAATCTTTGCAAATGTTATTCTTCTTCATTTTTCTTGATTCTGCAACGCTTCAATAATCAAATATCATGTTAGTGTTTTCAAATATCAAGCTTCTTTAATTATGTTATGATCGGCTTCCTTTTGATGGAATTAACAACCACAAATCAAGATTACCGATGTTTCTATTCTCTTCATGATCTGATTTATCAGTTTCTATCATGTTGTCATTATATTAGTGATATTCTTCTTCTTCATCTTCTTTTTCTTCTTTTATTCTTCTTAATCGTCTTCTTCTTCTATGTATTCAGTTAACAACACGAAAAACCTAATGATACAAAATGTTATGTAACTGTAAGTTGTAGAGGCAACTTCGGTATACATGCTGTGTTTCATGTTAATTTTTTGTTTACAGATATCTACCCGCTAAGAACAAATATACTAATATAATTACGTGAAAAAATAGTCATTTTGTTGTTACATTTCTGGCATAAATTCACATATGAAGTGGCAGGGGCATTTTCGGTATAAAAGAAGCGGGGCATTTTATATTTCTAAGCTGCAGTGTCATTTTCGGTATAATTGTTGTTTTATGTATATATTTATAAAATTGGTAGTATATTTATAAAATAAATCTCTTTAGTCTATATATATATATATATATATATATATATATATATATATATATATATATATATATATATATATATATATATATATATATATATATATATATATACACGCCCAAAAACTGGTATCAAATTACATTTTTGTTTCCTCAGTTTAGTTGAATTTTTGGACATTCGTTTTTAACTGGTAGATATTATTTTCCTGTTTATTTGTATTCCATTTTGTTATAAAATTTTATATTGAATCTGAAAATTTATTTGTACTTTCTATGTACATTGCTTTAATTATGAATTTATTGGTTTTTTTCATGTGTAGATTCATATTTTCTCTGTTTTAGTCGTTAGTTAGGATGTTCTTTACAGTCACGAAGGTTACTATTTTTGCTTACAATTCTATATGGTTTAAATTTTCTTGCAGAAAATGAATATAGGAAATAAAGTTTACCTAAATAACATTAACGAGATAGATAAAAAATCACATATCAAGGTTCGGGTGCTTCAAATCTGGAACTTTGTCAAAAATAATAAAGTTTGTTCAATTGAAATGATCCTGATGGACGAGGAGGTTTGTTGTATTTCATATATTTTTTATACCTCATTCAATATTACATATGTTTCAACAAAATAATAATTCTTATTTATTTTTTTACCAGGGTACACAATATCATGCTCGTTTCTTCAGTCAGAATTTCTCCCGATTTCGTCATCTTTTAAAGGAAGATGAAAGTTATATAAATTATAAAACCCGATATGGCTGCTGTTACTAATGGTTTTAGTTATACAGGTCATAAACATACCTTAACTTTGGATTGGAAAAGCATCCTAAAAAAATGTTATGATTTTTCGGGTCCGGTGAATGGATTTATGTTTGTTGATTTTAATTATGTCATAGAACAAACATGCCCAAGAGACACATTCTTTGGTTAGTTATTAAATTTTATTCGAATCATGTTTTATCACTTGTGTTCTTGATTATACATTTTATTATTTAAATATTATAATATTAATGCAATAGTTTATCTTGTGTTATCTCTTATGTAGATGTTATTGGACAGATCGTGTCATTTAGGCCTCTTGAAACTTCAAATCCTGTAGCATCCAAGCATTATATAAAACTCACTCTTAGCAACCTAGAGTAAGATTATATTTTCTAATTTCTTTATTATCTTTAATTTATCACAATTTAATATTAATAACTAATTTCTTTGTTTATTTAGTTCTGTACATCTGAAGGTTACTATTTTTGGAAGTCAAGCATATCAAATGTTATAATACCTAAAAAAATAACCCGAAGGTTAATTGTGTTGTTATAGTGATGCGGTTTTTGAAGCTAAACATTTGGAATGGTTTGTATTCACTCTTTATATATACATGTTTATAGTTATTGTTTTTGTAAAATTTTTATTAATTTGCTATACTTTTTTATAGGAATTGGTGAAGCTAAAAGTCAATTGTTCATAAATTCTGACATTTACAAAATTAATGAGTTTAAAAATAAGTTAGTTTCTTATTTTTTTATAATGTATTTTAACTTAAAGTAACACAAATCCTAATATTTTTGAATTTAATTTAAACATTACAGATTGAAATGTCATGACAATGTCAGTATAATTGAAAAAAACATAACTACACTTCAAATTTACTCTTCTTCATATACAGATGACTTTAAATGCAATTTTCCATTAAAGCAGTTTATGAGATCACCGAACCACTTAAGGTATATTGCATTATTTGATATGTTTTACATTTTATTTTTGCACAATTTATTTTAATAACTTTTACATTTTATTTGATACAGGAAATGAAGTTTTTATTAGTTGCTTCCATTGTTAATATAAGGCATAATCTACCATGGTATTATGAAGCATGCAACAAATGTGGAAAAAAAATAACCCCGGTTCCCAAAGTCAATCATTCGTATACCAACCCTTAAAAAATTTCAGAAACTGTTGTTGTCGAGTGTACAAATCCACAATGCAAAAATTCTGAATTTCATACACTTATAAAGTAAACACATATTTATTTATATTAATTTTTTCAATCTTTCAACAAAATTAACAATGACCTAATTTTTTTATTTTAGGTATATAATTCCAATCAATGTACAAGATTGTAATGGCACCATTGGATTTACTCTTTTAGACAGAGAAGCAAAGAGGCTGTTAAATATAAGTGCATATGAGTTGAAAAAGATACATGAAGTGGTATATTATTCATATCTTAAAATCATAAAACATTTACTCTTTTTTTAATTTATTAAATATATATCTTACAGGTCGGAGATAGTGATAGACTATTTCCAATGCAACTTAACGTGTTGAAAAACCGCAAGTTTGGTTTTCTTGTAGATATTACAAAATGCAATGTCAAAAACTATAATAATATCTACACAATTCTCAAAGTTACAGAAGATATGTCCAATGTTTCTGAATTGGAAAGTAAAATAGAACTTATGGTACATAACCTTTTACTGTTCAACATTTATAATTCTTTACTATTTAAATACATACCAATTAACATATTTCCATTTTATTTTTTAGAGTATTCAATCTGTTTCCTTAAATTATGTTCCTTTGGAATCACATGATGTTGTACAGCCTGTTCAAAAGGTTTTTCAATTTGTTTTATTCACTTTTATTTATATTTAATTGTTCCAATTAAATACTTATTTTTTTTTCTTTTAAATTAGGATGTGATATCAAAAATAGATGAAAGTTTTACACATTCAACAGTTGATAAATCAACCGCAACAAGTCCTAGCAAAATATCAACTGATTTGAAGCGCAACCTCCAAGAAATTTATGACGTTGATTCTGGAGATGATTTAAGTACAACTAAGGCTAAAAGAAAATCAATCGGAGAGGAAACTCCACTCTTAATTCCAAAATTAGAGAAATGAGTTGGTATTGGTTATAACACACATTTATATATATATATTATATATATATATATATATATATATATATATATATATATATAATATATATATATATATATATATATATATATATATATATGTATTGATCACTTGTTTTGGTTTTAAAGATATTTTGATTGCTTGGTATGATTTTTATTCTTGGATATTTAGGATGTCAAATATTATTGGTTTTGAATATTTTTGGATATTTTTATTGTGTTAAAGTGGACAAGTTAGTTGATTTTGTTTTAACACAAATTTAATATATTTTGATGTTTATTTGCTTTTAAAGATATTTTGAATTTTTTTGTATTATTTTTAATTTTGAATATTTATGATGTCAATTATTATTACTTGGTCTTTTTTAGTATTAATCTATTATCAAAAAAATGGATTTTACAGTACAAATTCAAGATATCTACATTACCAGTACAAATTCAGGATATCTAATGATACAGTATGTTATGTAATTGTAAGTTGCAAGGGCAACTTCAGTATATATGTTGTGTTTCATGTTAATTTTATATTTACAGATATCTACCCGCTAAATACAAATATACTAATATAATTACGTGAAAAAAAATAGTCATTTTTTTGTTACATTTCTGGCATAAATTCACATATGAAGTTGCATGGGCATTTTCGGTATAATTGTCCTTTTCAAACGGTAATTACGAAAATACCATCAGTTAAATTAGGGAAAATAATTCCAGAAAAAGTGTAATATCAGTTGATTTTTTTATTATTTTTTATTTTGAATATTTATGATGTCAGTTATTATTACTTGGTTTTTTTTATATTAATCTATTATAAAAAAAATGGATTTTGCAGTACAAATTCATAATATCTACATTACCATTACTAATTGTTATGTTATCTAATTGTAAGTTGCATTTGCATTTTGTTGTTACATTTCTGGCATAAATTCACATATGAAAATCAAAATGACAACAAAAATTATTCCAACACTTTTTACCATTTCAAGCAAATAAAATTGCCTTCATCGGTTTATAAAATTAGTTAGTTTTAGACTAAATTGCATTTTTTTCCTCAGTTTATTTGAATTGACGATTTTGGTCCCAAAAAAAATTGGATTGCAGTTTTTATGCTTATTTTATTTTAGTAATTCATAATTTTTTGTGAAAATACAATTCTTCAAAACATATATTAGTGATCTTCTTCTTCTTCTTTTTATTAATTCTTAATCATGTTGTTCTTCTACCTATTCTATTAACAACACGAAAAACCTAATGATACAGTATGTTACAGGGCAACTTCGGTATATATGTTGTGTTTCATGTCAATTTTATATTTACACATATCTACCCGCTAAATACAAATATACTAATATAATTACGTGAAAAAAATAGTCATTTTTATGTTACATATGAAGTTCCAGGGGCATTTTCGCTATAATTGTCGTTTTCAAACTATAATTACGAAAATGCCATGAGTTAAATTAGGGAAAATAATTCCAGAAAAAAGTAATATAAAAAAATGCAATAAATAATCCAAAGCTATTATTGAATTTAATCCATAGCTAGAAGACATTACATTTAATATAGTTTAATCAATTTCTACTTTAATCCAAACTCGAACAGAATACACATACAATTAATTCATACATTTTTCTAATGGTTGCAACATATTTACTATATGAAGATCCTCTATAAATTTCGTATATTTAATTTACTGTTTCCTAATTTTCTATACTCCCTTTTTAAATCAAATCATATATTAAAATTAATTTCAGTTGTAAGCTTTTAAATCCCATAAAATCTGGAACAAAATTTTATCCAATAAAAATGCAATAACAATAATATCATAAAATCGGGGAGTATATTGTGAAGATATTATGTGAATAAATTTATATATAAATTTACCTCAGAACATGAAATCCATAGTTTTCAAAGTCCTCATTCGTCTTCTTTATGTTTCAATTGCTTCTGCGATTCTTTTTTCATCAAAGTTACATCAATTTGCTTGATAGAATTTCTATTCCTCATTTCAGTTCACACATCAACTGCTTTTCATTTTAAAGCCCTATTACTTCCTGCAAGATTTCCATATTCATATGTCAGGTTAGTATTATGAGTTTAGATTACATTGGTTTCTCTATGAATTTATGGTTGGAATTTAAAAGTAAATCGATTTATTGGGTTCCAATTTGATACTCATTTGCAACCAAATGTTGGAATGGAATTGAATTCCAATCAAACTAAAGAAAAACATGGATCAAAAGTCATCTTCACTAAGAAAATATCATTTACCTTGTAACATTACATCAATATCTTTAAGAAAAAAACTTTTGTGTTCACGGTTTTTTAATATCTTCTACTGTTTTAATATCTGCAAATAATAGAGCAAAATGTGTTATCTCTTGTGAAACAGATATCACAAACCGATGCCTAATCAAAATATGTAAATACTCAAAGAAAATGTGTTACTCTTCTAAATAGACTTTTATTCCTACTAACAGTAACAAAATATGTTGGAATAGATATTTAGGATCGATAATTCATTTTTAATCATCACCGCTTTTCGTGTATGGATCGATTTTACCTTCATTGTTTCCATGAAGAACTAGGGTTTTACCCCTGATATCATCCGAACGCAAAATTGGTTGAAATCAGGGAAAGAGCAGATGGAAATGGAATAAGCCCTAGGTTGGAAATGAGGATGATGAGTCATGAATAACATCAGGGAAATAAAGGATGGTGGCACTGGAAGAAGGAGAGTCGGGGTTAGGATCTGTTTTTTTCATCCTGACGGAGACCAAATCGGAGGAGGAGAGGGCATCGTAGATGAAATCTTCGAGGTTCCCTTTCATGCGTTGTTGATTGCAATCGATTCTGAAGGAATCGAGGAGAGTCATTGATGGCTAATCTTCGACGATCGTTTATGGCCGCTGGAGACGTTGTAAACAAACACCCAAATTTTAGATTTTCTGTGAAACCAATTGGGTTTTAGGCTTACTGATACGAAAACACAAACACAGAGAGAGAAAGATAGATAGAGTGAGTTATGAAGAAGACGTATGTTGAGAGAGAGTTGTTGAGAGAGTATGACGACTTCTTTTACAAGAGTTCTTCCTGCAAATACAACACAAGTGACGACTGACACTGGGTGTCGGTATCGAATCTTATTTGGATCCGACTCCGACCCATATCTACATTTGGATCTGACTCCGAACCATGTTAACTTTAATATTTTTAATTAATTTCTCTTTTACACAAAATAAAGAAATACAAAATTTCTATTTTATATTATTTAAAATTTTTAAAGATTTCAATTGACTATTTTTTAAAAAAATATTATAAATGAGTAAATTAATATTAGCAAATTTTGTTACACATTGTAATAAACGAATTAACAAAGTTAACTTTATAAATACATTTACATTATTATTATTATTATTATTTATTTATTTATTTATAACTAACTTCAATTCTATTATATAAACATATTATTTACCTAATTTCACATTTCATATGCTATCCTATGTCTTCTTATGCAGAAAACAGCAGGAACATGTATCACATGCAGGTCAGAGAGAAAAGAAGACAAAGAAAAATATATTTGGAAAATAAAAGATCAAAGAAAATGAAAACAACATCGAACGTTCCAAGTACATCATTACGACATCTCTTAAAAAATATCTTTAACTGTAACCGTATTATTATTTTATATTATATGTTTTACTGTTACATAGTTGTATACATATATTTACAAGTTTTATAAGTTGTTGCTATTTGCAGATCAATCAACCAACGTTGTTTGTCAAACTCAAAATGTCAATTCATTTACAACATCTGCAATGCATAACACGACCATACAATACTCTCCTTCCTTTACAGATGTTAGAACTCCGTTTTCTAACATTACAAATGTTATAAATCCATTATCTAACATTAGAAATGGTAATTATTTATTGTTTCTAAAATATACTGTTATCCATTTTGTATATAATCGTGATATATATATATATATATATATATATATATATATATATATATATATATATATATATATATATACTTATTTTATTTTTTTGGTCAAATAACATCAGTTTCAATAAACATGCCACTTCCAAGTTACCAAACAAAAGATAGTGAGATGACATCAAAAAATGCATCTACAGTAACCGATTCTTCATCATCAATCAAGTTAAATCCAGGATGTCATAAATTAAAAACGAAGACGAGAAATTTATCCCCTATCCCATTGATTGATTTGACAGAAGACGTAGAAAATATATATCAAGTCAACAATGAAAATCTTATTGTTGGTATCTCAAATGGTAATGAAAAAAATAATATCAATTTTACATTTCAAATACTATGTTGTATATACTTTTAAAATTCATCGATATTTTCTTCTACGCTTTTATTTTACAGAATATTTGGATCATGGTGATCAACATGTTGTATGTCAAACATGTCATGCAAAGTTATGGAGAAATAAATCCATTAGAGGTAAGGAAAAGGGGAACACGGATTATTCATTATGTTGTGCTTACGGTAAAGTTCAACTTTCAGATTTAAAGAAATCACCCTCAACTTATGAAAAAATGTTTCGAAATACGGATTCTAAAAGCAAACACTTCATGAAAAATATTTGACGTTACAATTCAATGTTTTCTTTTACGTCGATGGGTGGTAAAATTGATTATTCAATCAATAGAGGAAACGCTTCATATATTTTCAGACTGGGTGGTCAAAATTATCATAGTATTGGAAGTCTTTTACCAGCAAATGGATCAGAACCAAAATTCTCTCAGTTATACATTTATGATACTGAGAACGAAATTGCAAATAGACAAAGATGTTTTCAGTATTTATTCAAACTTTTTATTCATAATTTATTATTATTATTATTATTATTATTATTATTATTATTATTATATATTACTAATATTTTGTATAAATTTATTTATTTTAGTAGGGAAAATGATCAATCAACTTCAATTGATAATGATATTA